TAAGACGGTCCGGCTCCTTGAAAGGTGACCCCTTGGTCACCGCCCGCGAGAACCACCAGCGTAGGGACCTCCGGGCGTGCATTGGGAGCTTCACCCGTCGGTTGGATGCGCTAACGTTCAATCGCTGGAACGGTAAAAGGAACCATTGGAGTTCCCGTAAGTGGAGTCTGGCCCAGGGGACAATGGCTATGCAGGAGACCATCTTCCCTAAGAGTTGGGACAACAAGACCAACGTCACTACCCGTTCTCGGTATACCCGGCGAGCTAGGTCCCTGATGCTGTCCAACCGCTCCTGGGAGAGATAGACCACGCAGTTCGCGGTGTCTATGATGGCTCCCAGGTGCAGAAGCCTGGATGAGGGAACCGTCTGGCTTTTCTGGAAGTTCACCAAGAACCCGTGCTGCTGAAGGACCTGAATAGTTAGGGCGAGGTCTGACTGAGAGCCCGGAAGGAGGACGCCTGAATCAGAATGTCGTCCAGGTAACACTGGATGCGTACCGGTACCTTCCGTAGGTGAGCGGCCAGCACAGCCAGGATCTTGGTGAACACCCTGGGTGCCGAGGAGAGGCCGAATGGAAGAGCCTTGTACTGGAAGTGCTGACCCTTGTAACAGAACCTGAGGAACCGCCTGTGGTCTGGAAGGATGGGGATGTGGAGGTACACTTCTGAGAGGTCTATTGACGCTAGGAAGTCTCCCTGTCTGATGCCTCCCAGGATGGATTGAAGCGATTGCATTTTGAATTTTTTGTATGCAATGTAACGATTCAGGCTTTTCAAGTCTAGAATCACCCTCCATCCCCCCGAGGTTTTTGGAACCACGAAGAGGATGGAGTAGAATCCCCTTCCTTCGTGACCTGATGGTACCGGTTCTATGGCCTGAATGTCTATGAGATGACAAATGGCCTCCTGCATAAGTCCCCGCTTGATTGGATTCCGAGATGTGGGGCAGGAGATGAAGTGACCCGGCGGAATCGCCAGGAACTCTAGGGACAGACCTTGTTGAATTGTTTGCAATACCCATTTGTCCGTGGTGGTGAGCTCCCACCGATGGAAAAAATGGGACAGCCTGCCTCCTATGGGAAGGGAGATTGGAGAGTCACTTGGACTTCTTAAAGGGACGTCCCGTTCCCCGAAATGGCCGCCTATTCTGGGGCTGTTGCCTGGGCCGAAATCCTGTCCTGTCATAGGGGCGGTCATATGTGCGATCCTGCCTAGTTGTGAAAGGTCGAAATGGCTGGGCAGCAGCCGAGCCTGAATTTTGCCGAAAGGGCTGCCTCCTGGAATAAGGAGTGGAGCGCTTGTCTGATCGCTTGGTGACGTGAGCCATGACTTTTCTCTTATCCTTGTTTTCCACAAGGAAAGGGTTCAGTGCTTCGCCAAATAGGTGGGACCCCTGATAGGGAGCGGATGCCAGGCGCCATTTGGCCTTGGTATCGGCCTGCCAATGTTTGAGCCAGAGCATCCTCCTGGCTGAAACGTTGGAAGCCAAGGCTCGTGAGGCAAAATTAGCCGACTGTAGAGTCGCGTCTGACGCGTACTCCGTAGCGGCCACCATTTTGCTCAAGTCCTGATGAGTCCTAACGTCCTCAGGAGGGACTCTGGCTTGCAGCTGCCGAAGCCATAAGAGAGTGGTTCGGACAAAAAAGGATGCGCACGTGGCCGTCTTGATGGCCCATGCGGTTGACTGATGGGTCTTGCGAAAGGTTAGGTCGCATTTCCTATCGTCTGCCTTAAGGACCTCCGCCAAGTCCCCAGAGACTGCCGTCTGAGACACCAGAGGAGTCCAGGCTTCATCTATCTGAGGAACCTCCAAGGCCTCAGTTAAATCCTTGGAGGTGTGGTATAGCTTCTTGTCCGACCCACTGATGGAGAGGGAGGCAGAAGGGGAAGACCACTGCTTCCTTATCCCTGTGAGGAATATGTGAGGGCAGGGAACATGATGCTGTGTAGTCTCGGTTGCAAAAAATATGGGGTCCGGACTCGCCTCGGCGGTAGCCTGTGGCTGAGGAAACTGATCGGACCCTATATTGGCCGTGGCAGTAGCCTTGCGGAGTAAGGAGAGAAACAAAGCATGGTTAAACAGGCCACCTGAAGAGGGCTCNCTGACGCGTACTCCGTAGCGGCCACCATTTTGCTCAAGTCCTGATGAGTCCTAACGTCCTCAGGAGGGACTCTGGCTTGCAGCTGCCGAAGCCATAAGAGAGTGGTTCGGACAAAAAAGGACGCGCACGTGGCCGTCTTGATGGCCCATGCGGTTGACTGATGGGTCTTGCGAAAGGTTAGGTCGCATTTCCTATCGTCTGCCTTAAGGGCCTCCGCCAAGTCCCCAGAGACTGCCGTCTGAGACACCAGAGGAGTCCAGGCTTCATCTATCTGAGGAACCTCCAAGGCCTCAGTTAAATCCTTGGAGGTGTGGTATAGCTTCTTGTCCGACCCACTGATGGAGAGGGAGGCAGAAGGGGAAGACCACTGCTTCCTTATCCCTGAGAGGAATATGTGAGGGCAGGGAACATGATGCTGTGTAGTCTCGGTTGCAAAAAATATGGGGTCCGGACTCGCCTCGGCGGTAGCCTGTGGCTGAGGAAACTGATCGGACCCTATATTGGCCGTGGCAGTAGCCTTGCGGAGTAAGGAGAGAAACAAAGCATGGTTAAACAGGCCACCTGAAGAGGGCTCCGGGGGAAGTACCTCGTCCTCTGACCAGTCAAGCTCCGGCAGTTCCCCTCCCGTGTGGGATGAATAGCCGCCAATTGAGGAACGGTCAGGTGACGGAGGATCCTGAATCAAAAGGTCCTCTGCTGGCAGAGTGGGAGGAGGCATGGCTGAGGTAGAAGCCTCCTGCCCAGGCGTATGACAAGATCGTGTTGCCAGCGCCCGGTCAACGACCTTGGAAAGCAGAGCTTCCAGGCGGCCGTCTGAAAATAAGTCTCCTAAATCTGGGCCCCTAAGCCCAGCCGCCGTCGGGGTGAATGTAGCTTCCGGAGCCGAGCTTGTGGCATAGGAAAGTGGCCCAGCACCCACGTGGGGCACTGTCGGGGTAACTGGGTCGACCGCCAGGGACCACACTCCCTGAGTCGAAGTGGAGGGACCCAATGGGAGATCGAATTCTGGGGCCACCAATTGATTCTTCTCATGCCTGGCCTGCTTTTGTGCCCTGTCAAATTCTCTTTCCAGAGCCTGGTGCCTATGGCTGGCCTGCTTCTCCGCCAACTTCGATGTCTTCTTCAGGGTGGCCTTGGCCTTGCTTCTCAGCTTGCCCGCTGCCTCCTGTCTGGAGGATTTGTGCCGGCCGTGGGTGGATGACGGGGACGCGGTACCCAGGAGCTGAGGTGCCGTGGAGTCCTCCATCCTGAATTGAGCTATCTCAGGAAACCTGAGGGGGAGCTCTGGCAAGCAAGCAGATGGCGGGAAGGATGTTCAGAGCTAGTAACAAGTACTGCTCCCCTGACCACCCGACCTGATAAGATTCTCTCTGGGTCTAGGTCACGGTCACTGGGAGTACCGAAGGCACGTTAGGGGCCCGCAAAGGCTCCGCCCGGAGGCCTTAGGTGGCCAGTCAGGGTGCACCAGATATTCAATGAGGGAGGAAGGCCTGAAAGTGAGGCCTGGCACAGGCAATGTGAGCAAAAAGCCAAGGTGCTTCGAATCAAGGTGGTGGTCTGAGAATTTGACAATATTAACCCTATGCGAGTAGGAAACCAATTTTTAAAAGGACCCTGTAGGAGACTTGGCCCCTGCTACCTGTGATGAGGGCAACTAGGCCAGCCGCATGGCACCACAAAATGGCGGCTGCGGCAGATTTCCACAAGGCCTCTGGGCTATAGTTAGGCCTGCAATATGGCCTGAAGGAGGAATTAACCTGCACGCACGAAAATATCAGCTGTAGCTTTGGGCCGCTGCGAATGGTCCCTAGGGACCAGGCTAAATCATGTAAGGCAAAGGAACGACGGCTCCTCAGGCGCTGGGGAATTCGCCTACCCCAGTCAAGGCCGAAGGCTCTTATTTTAGTCCTCACGATCGCCCAAAATGGCGGCCGCGACCCTAGGCCGACGCAAACGGCCCGGAAAATCAATTTAATGAAGAGCAAACTTGCAGCCAAGACAAGGAATGCGAACCTCCCAAACGGCTTGAAAAAGCCTCCCTGAACCCAGGGAGAAATCCCGTCAGAACCTGATGTAAACGCCTCAAAATGGCGGCCGCGACTTTAGGCCGCTGCAAACGGTCCGAAAAGGCTGATTTTAAAGAAAGGAACTTGACAGCTAAGGCGAGGGAATTGCAAGCCTCCCAAACGCCGTGGAATCGCCCCCGAGCCCAGGGAGAAGTCTCCTGTCAGCTTTTGTAAAAAACGGCCCCAAAATGGCGGCCGCGACTCTCGGCCGTTGTAAACGGCCCGGAGGAAGGCAATTTACAAGGGAGAGCTTGACAACAGCGGTGGGCTAGCTGAGAGAAGGAAAACGACGGGGGAATCGGCGATGAATGCCCTCTCCCCTACCCAGATCCCTGGGGACAAAAAGAAACGCGAAGGGGATTTCCCCCCCCCCACACCTCCCTCAGAAATACCTCAAATCGGCCGATTTGGGGCTCTGCTGATCCCAGCAGATTGAGGGCAGGGTGTTTTGGGGAAAAAAAGGCTGAGAATCCAACGATGGGCCTCTGACCTGCAATATTCTAGTCTAATCCTGAGAGCCAAACCTTGAGACGTCTGCAAGAGCTTGAGACCAAGATAAGACTGGATCTCACAGCAACAGGGGGCGTGTCAAAGTTTGGCTACTTGGTCTCAGGAGCAGGCATCCAATGAAAACCCACCGGTGGATTCTCCATCTCCTGTACTGGAGAATATCTTATGATATCTGGTGTAGTCGTTAAATGAAAACACCAATACATGAAGCTGTCTGCAAACATCCACTTTATCACTTCAATTCATTAGTTCAGTGCTATGAAAAGAATGAAAGCAAGGGTTAAAAAAAACTACCTTTATTTTTTCTTCTTCATCCATTACATATTTTTAAACAGGGATGTGTTTTATTATTCATACATTCAGGCAATGTTGATTTTATTAGTTTAGACCGGGAAAAAGCATATAAATGGAGACATTGTTGATTTAACCTGAACACAACTGTGTAACTTTCTACTGACCAAGTCGTTTGTGAGAACATTCTCCTTAGCATTAAAATGGTGTACTTAAAATATTGCTCAACAGCAATGTCTAGATTCCAGTCTTTGCAGAAAACAAACAAGCTTTACATTGATTTAATCTTCATCATAACTGGATTAATATACACAGTGTTATGTGTAAGGAATTCAGATCATATAAACACTGTACAGGGCAAAGAAAACCTTGAAAATGAAACGGCTAGGTGTATGATAAGAAATATATTGCAAGTATTTACAAATATAATAGAGAAAAGAAATTTGGTCAAATACTGCAAAGGCGGCGTTAACCACCTACCTTCTTCTTTTAAAAAAATCAGCCTCTTTTAGTGCTTAAAGTAAAATCAGCTGAAACGGTCAAGTGGAACTTTTTTACTAAATCATCTAATTTATGCTTTTATTGGTCAGATCAAGTTGGTAAATTGAGAATTTATTACACTAACAGAAACAGTGATTAACAATAGCCAAATTTACACAATGTGTTTATATGTGTGCCTAATTCAAGATAACACACTGCAGTTTGGCAGTTAAGAAAAATAAATTATAAAACAATCCCTGTAAATGCAATAATGAATTCAACTGGTGTGCATTTATCAATTAATACACATTTTGAATGTTACCATAAGATATTAAAAATAAATAATTATGCCCAAAGGCATGCACTGATAGACAAAAGTTAGCTTTAGGAAACCCTTTTTATAAGAAGACACATAATTTGCATTTTGGTCAACAAATCTGTCTAGCCATTTTATTTTCTTTACTCAAATCCTTATGATACTGGCAGCTTAACATGATAAACATACGCTTCTGTCATTATGGCTTTAAACAAAGCAAACTGAAGGGAGAAGGAGGAAGAGAAAGAACTGCTTTTTCTAATGAACTGTTATTTCATAACACAGGCACTTTAAGGAATTATCAGGAAAGTACCTAATCAATCCAATCAGCTGTATTTTAGTGATGCAGTATTTTGTTGAAATGTAACAATGTTCTAGAAACCCCCAGCGGCAATCATAAACCACAGGCTAACATTCACTGAAGGAACATTATGGTTAACCCACTTCCATTTTCCTTTCTTAAATCAATAATATACATACCTCAGTTTATTACTTGGCACATCCAGACCTTCATTTTTAAAACTGTCATTCAACAATAATTTTTTATTAACGTTTTGTGATTTCCCACTCTACATGTTTGCAGTAATTTCCTAGTAGTGTGGTTTTATAACCCTTAAGCAACTTTCAGTTGATGTTTCAGCATTGATGTCATACATAACTGGAAGCACAACTTGCATTATACAAATATTTGCATTTCAGTACAAGCACTATTGCCACTTTAACTACACTGCATCTCAACTAGAGGTACAACAAAAGCAGATTTGAAAGCCCAGATTTTACAAACACTGATACACCTCCTCCCTTAGAAAGCACAGCATTTAGGCTTTGTCTTCAAATGATTCATCTAGCTTCTGTCTTAGTACCACCAGGCAGTGACTCTACCATATTTGTAATAATTTTAAGTGGCAAGTTTGCAAATGTAGTACCACCAGAGCAACAACTGGAAAAAAAGTTTTTAAAAAAACCTATTACTGAGAAAAGAAATCTTAAAGCAAGATATTTTAAATGCTTGGACAATAATAGCTTTATTTCCAGTGTTGTCTCTTTTAATCACTTTCAGTATGGCATTCCCCAAACCTTAGCAAATACCAGGTTTATAAATTATCTGGTCTTCAGCTAATCACTGCTAATGTTTCTAAGTCAATTTTTCTGAGGAAAAAAAAAGCATTTTTTTTGTATCTTGGTGATCAAAAGGTACTTTTATGTTGACACAGCATTAAAGCTTCCAGGAGAGATGATCCAAATTAAAAATATGCTGAACCACCAAATCAAATTAAGTATGAGAATCTTCTCACTTAAAGATGATGCTGGAAAAATGTGTGGTAACTAGAGAGATGACTTATCATGATATAGCAGATGAGTAAGTGAGTAATTCCACGCCGTCTGCTTTCCTCCAAAGTCATTTGTGACGTTGAATAGTTTTCCTTTTCCTTCGCTTGAAGAAACAGCAGCACCTAAAATTGTTCATAAAAACAATCTTATATAAACAGAAAAAAGCATGCTTTATAAAGGTTACTTCGTAGGTTTTCATGAAGTTTTGAAATTGAAGCCATTCAGGTAATATTAAAATGCATTATAGGAAACAAAAATATATAAAAATGAAGATATATAATATAGGCCACTCCATTATGCATCTAAATAGATGATGAGATAGTACAGTCGTAGCAGAATATCAATATAAGGACAATGCAGACATTTTCTTATAAATCTGATTTAATCAGTGTGCAGAAACAATATTATTTATGTCTCATTATTACAATTAGCCTATTATTTTAATACAATGGACAGATTTTACGCGTATTTGAGAGGGTAATCTTAAAAAAAAAGGGGGGATTCTCCTTTCCCCTGGACAACTGAGAGAGCAGGATGTGTTACTAAAATTAGGACAAGTGTAAAAATACCTCTCCATAATTCTAGGATTTCTAGGTAATTAATATCTATTAATTTCTAGGTAATTTCTAGGTAATTAATACCTATTTAATTTGTTTTGTTGTGTAATGTTAATTGTAGCATTACTAAAAACTAAATGCTCATAGTACACTGTAGAATTAAGACTGGCAAACAACAAAGGTAGTGAACATTCCTACTAGTTTATCAATAGGAAAGCATTCTGGACTGCTTGTGCTGTTTTTATAATAGCATACAGAGCATATTATAAAAGATAATTACATCAAGTAAAACCATGTTATTAACAAAATTGCCTAAGATCCTGGAAGCCCAAAAAAATGACATTGCTGTTTACTAAAACCTTGTACAGCAGTTGAACTTCAGAAGACTACATTGGGCTTGCATGGTAAAGATAAATATTTGAGTCATTTTGCCACTGCATAATCTATACGTATCATCTGTTCGTTTATTATACTTCTTGTAAATTTGATGCCAATTGTCCCAAAATAAAAGAGCTTGAAACTTTTTTTAGTTAAGATAATTCCCTAGCCCTATTCTGAAAAGGATCAAGTATCTTATACAGTAGTATATCTATAATATATGTTATGTTTATACAAATTGCTGGGAAGGACATTCCCGTCCTTCTTAATATTTTTATACTTTTGTTTCAAGCAAAACAAAAACAAATTAATATTAAACTTAGTTCTAAGTAGCTATGGCTTTCTTTGTGAAGTATCATTTTAAAGCAACTGTAGAACAACAAAATGGAATAATTCAAATCTTTTTTGGAACACCTTACATTTTAAAAATGTTATATTTCAGATGTATCCATCTGAAAATTAACATTTTGGATCTCTTGCTGTGGTCAGTACTCCCTACAAAATGGATGCATCTTCCAAGAGATATCAGCAATTAAATGAATAGCAAATGTATAAAGACACTTGGCAGAAATCTCAAAATTTCTTCAAGGTTTGGCATTTTTGTCTATTTTACAAAAAACTATTATTTCTGCAAAGTTCATTCAATTTCTAAGGAAGCTAAAGTAATCTTTGCTTGAATAAACAGTAAACAGAAATTCAAGGGTATGAAACAAGACTTAAACTTATACCTCCAAACTGATTTATTATAAAATCAGGGATTTAAAAAGCAGATCCACTTGAGACTTAACCAAGCCTTGTTTTAGAACATATTTTGTGGGGTTAGCTGAGTATAATCAGAACTCATCCCCTAGCTTTTAAAACCATGATTAAAAACATATCAAACATATTGTCCCACCAGAAAACTGTAAATTGCTCTTTTTCTAAGTATTTTTTTAAATTAATCTTAAGGGATTGCATATTGATGTGCTTCATTGTAAAACTAAAGAAAATGAGAAGAGTAGCATGTCTTAAATTATAACATCATCTCTGTTTCTTTGGGCTTAGAGACATTCTGTAACATTTCAGCTATGTTAAAAGTATTTAAATACAACAAAAGAACTAACTGCAGCGAAATGTGTGCTCTTAAGTAAATGATCACTAGAGGGCCTCACTCTCATATGTACTAAATATTTGTTATTTCCAAATTCTCTTCTCTCCCTCTCTTCTCAAAGGCTGAAATATCTGTGAAGCCAGCATTCATACTAAAACTGTTATTAAAACTTATAGTTAGTCTACACTAATTTATTCTACCATGCATTAAATATTTTAAAATGTTTCAGACCTTATACAGGAAATAGAAATGAACTATTTAACAGACATTTGTTGGGAAACATTTTTCAGAGAAACTACATTAGAGAATGCAAACATATGTTAATCTATTAGCATGAATACAGTGGTTAATGGATCTTAAATGGGATTAATCAACTAGTCCTACTTAGAATGGTGAATTATTTTTCAAGAATCCATTGTTTGCCTTATAGTAGGCTTTTTGCAGTGATGATCTCTGGAAGAAAGGTATTTTTAATTATGGACAAAACCCAACCATCTGCCATAATATGAAAATAAAACCAGGAAAAGGAAAAAAACAGAGAAGCACTTTCTCTGAAAAGATTATCTTGAGAATGCTGATAATAAAACAATGTGTATGGAGGATATTAACAAAGAATTTCTTTGGCCTAGTTTCTTGCTATTAGTGGCAGAAAAGAGGATCTGGAATAGTTTGGTTTAAGTTTAGTTTGATCTTGAGTGCCAATATAGACATAATGGTGTATTCTAACCAATACAGCAAGTATATTGTGTAGTCTCTGTACCCCAACTAAAGCGTCATTGCAAACTAAAGAGACTCACCTTCAAATGTTAAGCCCTTCATCCTAGCCTTAGATTCAGGGGAAGGCTAGAATCATACATGATATTGTATTATGTGTTTAAAAGGGTTCTTACTCAATACATTGGAGTACAATACAAAGCATTTCTTTTGAAAGTGTTCACACTTGTCATTTTACATGATATCATGCCTGTTCTGAAAACTTGGATGGTGTATTAAGCATTTGATTAGTTACTTGGGAGTATACAATTAAAAAAATTAGCTACTTTTATCTTCTTAGAATGATAGTTAAAAATGGGATCTTTAACCTTTTAAGACTTGTTACCTGGCTAGGCATCTAAATGTTCTCCAAAGTGAGAAATTTTCCAGCCAAAGCCATCCAATCTGTGAGCCTTTTGGTCTAGTGGCTAAGGCACCAGGTTAGAAAGCAAGGCATTGTGAATTCAAGTCCTGCCTTAGCCATAAAAGCAGGCTGTTTGACCTTGGGCCAGTCACTCTCAGCCCAATTCATTCACAAGGTGGTTGTTGAGGGGAAAATAGGAGGAGAAAGGATATGTTTGCCACCTTATTTGTAAAAAACAATAAAGGCGGGATGGATGGACAGACAGACAGACAAAGTTTATATAGATGGCAGTCAAACCAAATCTGCACCTGAGGGAAATAATTTCCTTTTTCTTGTCTTCTCTTCTGTCCATATGACAATCAAATACCCAAATGTCCAATTCATATTTATCTCTTTAGTGGATGGGAGAAAACAAAGTACAATGGCTGACAAACAGAAGAGAATGCCTGGAGACAACTGGGCAACTGAGTTCCCATCCTTGAACATTCAACACAGAACTCTGATTCTGGTGGAAGGCTATATCACTCATTTGGCCTCCAGACTGAACAGTGGAAGAAAATTACAGCAGATCAGTACATTCAACTGCTAATCCAAACTCATTATAGTTTCCTTGAATTGGAATCAACTACCCCTCCTGATGTGATGACCACCAAGAAAAATGATATTGGATAACTACCGGTAGGTAGAGTTATAGTCACTGTCTCAGCAGCAGCAAAATAAAATTCAAATATTCCTATCAACCCAATTACCTCCTTCAAATCCTTACTTGTTCCATTTCAGCTATGTGAATGTCCATCTGTATTAGTTTCCAGGTCCAATATATTATATGGTGCTGTTTTTGACCTATAAAGCCATACATGGCTTGGCACCTGGGTCCCTTCTCCACTTTGTCCAACCAAATTCTGACTGACCAATTAGATCTAGCTAGGAAAGATTGCTGCAAATTCCACATTCTGGGGAGGCTGAGGCAAAGAGTCTCTGTTTTCTGTTGCATGCTGACACTGTGACATGGCCCCTCGCTCTGGAATTTAGACTGCCCCCTCTATACTAATTTGCTACAAGCACCTCAAGATCAAGATATTTTTAAAGAGTCTTCTCCTGATAAAAGTTGTTATTGTTGCCATCTTTTATTTTCTTCCTATTTTTCTATGCTGTTGTAATTTTATTTCTTTTTAAGGCTGCATTCTTTTTATGTAAGCTGCCAAGAGTCATTTTTTTATTTGCAGCAGCATACAAATATGTTTAATAAATAAATAAATAGGTAGATAAAATTAGAACTTCCTTATGCATACTTTTTTCCATCTAAAATCTGCAACTGAAAGAACATTATTTGTGTGCATTACTTTATTTTTCCTATACTTTCAACTCCCTGGTAACCCACCAATAAAACTCATTTCATAAATTTATTGAATTCTGTAAATTGTGATGGGTTGTGCAAACAGATATAATGGAAAAGACAATATTATTGTGGTTACCATACGGAGAGTGTAAGGGCTGAATTATATGGTAGTACAGAAAATGAAATATGTTTCACTATATAAAAATACAGCATAAATTCAAAATAATGCTATCTGTAAAACATACAAAATAAATACTAAATATAGTTACATAATATATATTATTATATATATTAAAAATGTTTAAGTGTATTTATAGGGACTGCAACTGATAATTTTTCATCAACCTAAATATAGTTGCATGATTTTTTAAAAATATTATTTGAATAATCCGTCCTAGCCACAGCAATTAAAATTTAATTTCAAGCATGAAAAACTTTCAAGCATGAAAAACAGGTTAAAAGAAACCAATTGACAGAAAATTTAGACATAATCGACTGTATTGTATTATTTAATATATTCTCCTACAGATATCTTAGTATATATTATCATGGTCTCTCCAGGATCTTCCTTAAAAATGAAGGTGTATTAATTTATTAGAAGGGTTGGTAGCTTTATGCAACATCACTGCCACTGAAAGTGCTTTCTGTAGTTTTACTGTAACATTTTTATACATTATTATATTTGAAGGTATGGTTTTTATAATATATTTATGGTACTTTTATGTCATGATTAGTAGCTAGGAATTAACTTTTTTAAATCACTATTTTCACCTGCATTTTTCTGTTTATATCATGTATGGAAGATTGAAAACTGGAGGAAATAAATGTTTAATGAATTTATTTCCTTCAGTTTTAAAATGAAAAGGATGAAAAGTTATGAGGAGAGAGGCTGAAGAATGGGGTGCTTTTTCAAACGAACAAATACAATTTCATTAATTATATCCAAATATTTGATTATTTAAAACATAAAAGAACTTCCAATGATATTATGAATACAGCTTCCCTATCTGGTACAATTATTAGCATTCATAAATTAGAAAAAAAACAATCATCATTTTAGAAAATTTGTCATTCCATCAAAAACTAAAACTTGCCAATAATAAATTAAAAGTGAAAATGTTTTATAGACTGCTTTTTGAGGTGAGTACAATGACTGAAATGTGGAAATGTACTAAAATACAAATTGTTCCCTGAGTTTATTAGTTAGCAGTTACCAATCACTAACAACTCAGTAAATATGGGTGAAAACATATACTGTAATTTAGTGCTATTAAAATATTTAATTATTTATGAAGTTAAGGTATTACTGTGGATATTAAAATACCTGAAATTGTTGTTTTCCCTTTAAAATGGCAAATCGATGGGCAAAACAACTGTATTAAAGCATAAATTAAAATTAAAGCATAAATTCAGGTGTATTAGATAAAAATACATTAAAACTACATCACTTCAAAACAAATAAGAATTGAAGCAGGCAAAAGTGCTCCTCAATAAGCTAGCAGGTTTCTTATATTAAAGAAGACCAATATTAAAACAATTAAATTTGTTTTGTTTTTTTTCCAATTGTACTTTTGTTTTTAAATGCTCTGGAGCTATTTCTGCCTGCCTATGCTTTAAAACTCACCACATGTTCAACACTTTCTGGCAGCTAATATGAGGAAAACACAAGGAAGGGGAAAAAAATCAGAATGCAGTATATTGTAAAGAAAACTTACATTTGAACATATAGTCATATAGTCAAGTAATGAGTAAGATAATAACACATCAGTTAAATTAATGAAGACCAAATGAAGCAAACTAACAATGCCATTCAAAATATTATATTTCAGCTTGTAGTTTAGGAATTTCTTCAAATAGTTTAGGGCACGACAAACATGCATGTCTTGCTTATTTATTTGTTGCATAGATCATACTTCTTTCTGGGTGTTTTAATGTGGTATAGAATTTCAAAACCAGAGATTGAAATATTTTCAGTTAATTTCAATTGTGCCTGTCACTAACACCATCCTTTGTAGATGGCAATCTTGACTCATTTGCAATGCAAAAAAGAAACCTAAATGGTTAGATATACACAAATATCCCACTACTTGGAGATTTTTGGTGCACCTCAGGTGGGGAAAATGAACTATTCTGAAGTGCTTTCATGTATAAAAGCTACACCCTTTGCTGAAATACATCTGTATTATGAGTGAGAGTATTTTGTACATTATTTTAAAAAGTTCAGGCAAATTTTTTCCTGAATGCTGTTGCAGACAGCAGCAAGCTGCATAATGGCATAAACCCCTCTATTACATTACTGTACTAGTATTTATTCTAGTAATATTCTATATGGAATATATTGTAGGGAAATTGTACTGCCTGGAAAGTCTAATAGCTTCAACTAAGAAACCATTTTATAGACAAGTAAATGGAATTTCTCTCATACACATTTCCCCTGTCTCTTAGAGCAGAGGTCCCCAACCTTTTGGGCACCAGGGACCGGTTCTATGGGGAGAGGTTTTTCCGCAAACCAGAAGGTATATGGTTTTGTTTGCTGCCTGCATCCCACGGATGGGGCTTTGCTTGTTTGTGTGTACCAGTTGCTGGCATGCCGTGGACCGGTACTGGTCCACGGACCGGGGATTGGGGACCCCTGTCTTAGGGTTAAAAAAAAAAAGAACTGTTTAAGGGCTTCCTGTATTACTTGTCACAGTTAAGAACTTAGATATCATGGGAGTTTCAATTGGAAATTTCAATCTCATAAAATGAGCTGTCTCCATAGATATTATTTCAAAGCAATACATACTTGGTTTCATCCATAACTTCTACTTCAGTAGGGGCTGTGATGGGTGCATTTGAACGGCCAGCAGTAGGATCATCAGTGTTGAGTTCTCCATTTGTTGAACTTACAACCTGCAATGGAAACAGATTCAAAAATTATGTAATAATAATTGTATAATTTATATTTACTACACTGGTAATTCCAATGTAGAGTTGAAATTAGTGTATGAACATATTATTTCATAAGTGGTAGTACTTTTTTTATTCACTCATGTGTCTCTATTACTAATTATTGCAAGATCCAATCTGGATCGGTCACCGGGACCAGAGGTTTACTCTTCCAAGCTTTTAGACTCCTCAGGGAACTTCTCTCTACTGGAATATGTGCTTTGGTCCTTCTGAGGATGGGGTCCAGAACAAGTCTAAAAGCTCAGAAGAGTAAACCTCTGTCCCAGTATAGACCCAGATTGGATCTTGCAACATTATTCTGGGACACATATATCTGCCTTCATTCATTACTAATCATTCTCCAACTGCTTGTAGAAAAAGCCATCTACAAAATAGGTGCTAGCAATACAAAATATTACAATCCTAATATATAGTAGTTATCCTTGAATAAATCTCTGGCTAACTACCCTGGAATAAATTCAATGAACTTCACTAGATACGTAAGATTGATTGATTGATAACAATCACGCTTTAAGCTGATAAGCAATAACATCTGTTCTTATTAAGTAATCCTGTTGCACAGAAAGATGGACATCCACTTTTCAATTGCATATAATAAACTGCCATACAACCATTAAAATCAATTTAATAAATAAGTATGCCTATGAAATAGGCTACAATTTTAAATAATGACATTCTGTCATAGTTGTCTGCATAATCACTAATGCGAAAATCCTAGGTAAGGTAATGTGAACGAAGATATATATCCAGAAAGAGTAAAACTGAGAAGGGAGGCAAGATAACTAGGTAACATAATACCAAGCATTTCATTACTATTTGGTTTTTATTCCTCATAAGTCTTTCATTGCATCAACAACTTAGTTTTACTTATTACATGCCCTTGTAAACTATACATGATCTAGATAGAGTTCATAATGCACATATAATAAATATGACTTTTCCTTTTAAGAACATCACCTGGTACATTATTTATTCATTTAATGTCTTAAAGTCAGTTTTTGACTTCTGACAGATGTCTGGACTAGTCCCTGCAATTTTCTTGGCATGGTTTTTCAGAAGTGAATTTTATTGGTGGCTATATAAACTGTATAAATAAATTAAATGCATATCTGTTGCTCGTTTGTTGCACACATCCTCTTCACAATTTGTTTTCCTTTTTACCTTCTAGAAGGAGGCTTCGTGGTATCTGAAGCAGAACATCCAGATTCAGCCAGAGTTTCATTCCGTACAGCATTAACCTTGCGAACTCTCAAGCTTCCTCCTTCCGTTATATATTCAAGATGGACAATATTTCATATTTATTTGCTATGTATATGTAGGGATGTGGGTCTATACATATGTTGTTCATAGTATGTTTAGGTGTGTGTCATGTATGTGTTTCACTTTGAAAGCGGGCAACTAAATTTCATTTTTGTTGTGTGCCATTGTGCCCACAATATAAAAATGACAATAAAGGTTATCTTATCAAATTTCAAATTTCTTTGGGATGTTTTTAATATGGGATCAAATCTATAGCACAGCATTTTAAACTCAGAGTCAAGACAGGAAAATGGAGAATGAATTCAGCTAATTTCTCTCTATAACATGAATCATATTTTCTTTAGTGGAAATGCAAAACACAGAATAAAACCGAAGGAAGAGTATAAAAACAAACAAATTGCACTTCTAAGTGACTTAAAAATATAATCATTACCAACTGATTATTTCAATTCAAGTCAGAGAATTTTGATTCCAAAAATATTATCTTTAAAGATACTGTTAATTGCTTTATGATTGCCAAATTCAGTAATGTAGACTAGTATCTTAAATGTTAGGAAACCATGTTAAAGAAAGAAAATGATTGTACCAGGAACAAAATGCACAAACAAATAAACCATTTTGCATAGATGAACTACTTCTTCTCTCATCACTGACAACCTTTAGTAGAAACTAATACTTATGTTTCTTAGCATACAATTCTATTTTCCCAAAAATATAAGATAGGTCATGGTAATGGCACTAGATTCCCACTCACAGTACAAAATAACATTTATTTCCTATGCCCGTTACAAAGGTTGACAAAGTGATTACGGAAGGTTGAATAAGGTGAGAAATACCCCAAAGAGAAATAAAACCATCTTTCTGGCATGCTGTTAATGTATATTAAAGAAGTTTGTTACATGTTTTCAAAAACTGTGGTAAACAACCCTGAAAACAATTTAATTGATGGAAAACATTTTTAAAAGTCTATGAGCTGAAGACTACAATCTAAAAGATATCCTACAGCAGAGGTCCCCAACCCCTGGTCCAGTACCGGGCCGCAGCATGCCAGCAACTGGTCCGCACAAAGAAGCAAAGACCCATTTGCAGGATGCAGGCAGCACACAAAACCACGTACTCTCTGGTCCATGGAAAAACCTTTCTCCATGCAACCGGTCCCTGGTGCCCAAAAGGTTGGGAACCTCTGTCCTACAGCAACAACATAAAAAATAATAATTAACAAAATAATGCATTTCCTTGGAGATGTTATACTTCAATATTAGTTACAATGCAAATATCTTTTTTTACTTAGGAATTATGGCCAGGTTTCAAAAAAATGAAGCAGTCTAATTTTCTTTCAACAAAGCAGAATGTATGATGCAGAAAAGCATTATTATCTCTATGGCTTATCCCTAAATTACTAATCCAGTCTCAGATGCAAATTATAGTAATTTAATATAGGAAATTAGATTATCATTAAGTATGAGAGACAACAGCAGACAAGCCAACTACAGCTAGACAAATGATTCTTCAAATATATCTTTTTTGGAGGGTCTGGGTGATTTGAAATTGCTATATAGCCATTCAAAAATATACAAGTAAGATATATAATTAGCAATGGAGAGATATTGGTGGTAAAAAAAATATGAAACAAGCCCTTTGGCAGAAGCAAAAGAAAAGGACATCAAGGGAATAAAAGAACTGCTGGGAAAGCAGCAGGAAATTATCCAGATCCTATTGAAACAGAGAAAGAGTAGTAGGTGACAGGGAACTTTCCATTTGCTTCTCCCTTTTGCACAAATTTATATAATCATAGATACATGAGCTCTCTTTACATCACATAGACTTGCAACAACTTTTACTGGATTTAGTAAACTTGTTTTTCAAGACCGTTTTAGAGAGAATGAACAGCTATATAGGCATAATAGATTTGAGATATATTACTCACTAAGCAATTATAAAGTTCACAAACCAGGCAAATGATATGTTGAGGCAGGGAATTTGACTACACTTCCAATGGGTTATTATAACAACAGGAATATCAGTATTGTTTTCAATCATAAGCATAAAAGGACATTAAATAGGGACTAGAAATCGTTACTATAAATGGTGATTCGTACGATCAAAATATTACTAGTAGTCAGCAATCATTTGAAGCTCTAATGGCACTGCCATTTCCACTACACATCATTCAATGACAATTTTATTGCCTAGGAGTCGTCCAAATATGTTTTCTTCAAAATGCAGATGGCTGTTCTTCTACAAGCACTTGTAGAAACAAAAACAAATGTTGCCTGATTTTTTTATTATGGTTTTTATAACAGAAGACATTTAGTTATGGACA